TGTGTGTGTGTGTGTGTGTGTGTGTGTGTGTGTGTGTGCGTGTGTGTATGTGTGGTATGTGTGGTGTGGGTGTGTTATGTATGTGTGATGTGGTGTATGTGTGTGTGTGTGTGTGTGTCCTGTAAGTCTGACAAGCCACAGCTGAAGAGTTCATTGTCAGTGTCCAGTCTATCTGAAGATCAAATACCAACAAGACCCCAAGGACAGAAGGTCACAGAACAATTGTAGTCTCTGGAAGCCCGGATCTAGATGGGAAGTTCTGTGGGCTGTAGATTCCCGCCAGCACCACACTTTTCTCAAAGGCTTTGGTGACTTTGAGTCAATCTCAGACATACAGAGCAGAGCTCTCGGCTGCTCAGGATACCCTGACAGAGCATCCTAAGGGCTCTTAGTGCATGTGCGGCCTTTGTCATTTGTAAATTGCCTTAAAAATCTATAAACTTCTGAGGAAAAGCACCAAAGCTTTTACTTTCGTTTAGCATCGTCTAAGCCCCGTCTGAAATGCCTTCTCATATTTATACTGAAGTTGGTACTGTTGTATGTTTCCAGATCTGCACATCAATCCTTTTTCCTTCTGAGAACTAATAAGAACCATAATAATTAAACTGTGTTGATGATATACAGTGACTACTTCTTAGTAAAAGTTAGGTCTCAAAGTCTCCTGGCTGTGCTTTCCAGTCCACTGAAGTGTGAGAGTTTGAGCAGGTTGCCTGACCCATTTATTCCTTTTGCTCCTTGAGGTCATAGGAACAAAGGCTACGATCCTGGGTTAGGGCCTCCATGGATCAATGATAAATAAAAGTGCTGGGGACGATTGCCATGATATCACATGAGTAAAAGGACTGAGGACTGAGCACTCACCGGGAATGTACTTAGCATGCATGAGGTCCTGGGTTCAGTCCCCAGCACTGGAAATAAGGGAAAGAGGGGTGGAGGGGAGGGAGAAGGGAGGGAGAGGAAGAAGCAGAGGGACAGTGACAGGGACTTCCGTCCCCCCTTCACACCCAGGTAGGACTTTACAGCTACAATCCCGTCTGAATTTAGAGCAAGCTGGCTTATTAATACCTGAGGGAACACAGTTTACAAATTCACTGCCACGCAGGACTTTCTATTTTATCTAAAGCTATTCTTTTGCTAGATCTAGAAAAACGAGGCTTCAGGAAGCAGCTCGGTAGACTCCTCCTGTCTAATCAGCTTTCGTCTTTCCTTATCGCCTAATCTCAGCAAAAAAAATAAAAATAAAAATTCTCCTTAAAACCCAGAATCGTTTTTCCATACTCCTCTCTGGGTAAATTTATAGTCTGTTTCGTTTTTCTTGAGAGGCATTGACCAGAGGTTCATGTAGCGACACAGGTGGGGGAAAAAAAATCCTGTCATAAGAGGAACCTGGCACTTGCGTGTAGCTCCCAGCATGCCCCAGCTCTTGGCTTCTTAAATCTAAATAAAGGTGTCTTTCATGCTTCCAATAAAAGACATTTTTAAAAAAAATCGTCAACCTTCAGACCTCCATAGATAAAGGTTTTCGTGGTCTCCTGTTAATACATTCTCCACTGACATAACTGAGCACTCTGTGTTTTAATTGTAACATGAGATACATAGTAAATTTAGCGATTGCAAATTATTTCAAGAGACATTTAAGATTTTACTGGTTGAGAACTCGACACAGGATCTTCCAAAGTGTTCAACACTGCTGAAGCATGGATTCTGACATGCTTTAATTGTGTGTAAGCCCTAGGAGAAGTTTTGAGCATATTACAAAGCGCCCTCTGACCCCTGCCTTCTCATTCAAGGCCTGCCTGACACATCTGTTCTTGATTTCTTGGGCAGGCAGGAGAGGTGACGGCAATCCCAGCAGAGGATGGGCGGGGCCTCGCAGCCCAGGATAATTCTCCATCAGTTTGTTCCAGGAGAAGAAAGTAAAGTTCTATCAAGCAAGCTGCGATGTGGCGTCCACTCCCCCCACCCCCTCCGTCTCCTTCTCCAAAGCCACTGCCAGCCCACCCTACATTTCTCATGTTGATTATAAGTGAAGCTTTGACAAAGGGGCATTCTGGGTATCAGGCAACCACATTATAATTCTACTGAAAAGTGTTCTTATTGTTTCTAAATTGCTGGTTAGAGTGAGCAACCCTTGTGACTTGGGAAGGAGAGGGGGGAGGATTTTGAACAAACACATTTAGCCTTAAAGCTGCGCTCCGTGAATGGGGAAGAGTGGCAGACCGAGATCACGGGTATACATACCTTAATATGCAAAGTGGCTTTGGCTTCCGAAGCAGACCCGTTAAGTCGCTCAATTGTAATTAAAGAGCCTCCTAGGGTGCCCATGGAGGATGACTGTGATGGGCACATTGAGTGCCCACATAAAGGACAGGTAGCATGCCTAGATCAGAGGCCCACAAGCCAGGAGAAGCCGGCTCTTCCTCGTCTATTGTATTTTCCTGACCTACAGGGAATATGCTGTGTGCTACCAGTTTCCAGGGTTCCCGGTAGAGTGAATTTCCTGGCAATGGTCTGTATTCTAATGTAAAGACAGTAAAAATAAATGCATCGCCTTACTCATCCTGCTGTCCCCCACCCCTGAGAGAGCTTGGTAAATGCGACGCAATTCGCACACTTCCAAGTGTGAAGGACGTTTAAGGGACCCCTGACCCCCGGTTTCTGTGTCATTGGTGTGCCCCCCGATGGCGCTGTATTCCAAGAGAGCCTCTGTAATCAACACATCACTTACTTTCTCCAATTTACTTGGCCGCCTCCAAGACCTTCTTTAATTCCTCTGAATTCTCGAGTTCTGTTTACTGAAGTGTAGGTAGAAATCACAAAGGAGAGTGATGCATCTCAGAAACAAGGCGTGCTATCGGGACGGCAGCAGGGCCTGAATAATAATGGATTTGAGAAGCAAATCTGGAATGAGGTCCACTGTGGGTACCATTCCCAGCAGGTCTGGCCTGGCCCCCTGGAGAAGACCGAAATGTCAAGTTTCACTACACTATTGTGGTTGCTGTTGTAACAGGAGAGGATAATAGAAGGCTTTTTGGTTTCAAACAACTGATTTATGATGTAAAACTCCTGAATATTTTTGGTGAGGGAATGCATTATTCTTTTTTATTTCTCGCTAAAGTCAAGACCTTGAGTATTTGACCAGAAATACTGACGTCTACTTTAATTCTCTGGGCAGTATTATTCTTTAATTCACCACAAGCATCAGCAGCAGGCTCTTTGGTCTCCATCCACTACTGTGTTTCCCTGGTCCACTCCCTACCTGCCCTAACTGTTATCTGAACAAATCAGTCAGCTCGTCTTTTTGTCAGTTTGGGTATCGCAGATGAAAAGGGGAGTTTCTTCATTTGTTCTAAACACCAAAGAGCCCTTAATCGGCTGTTTTGAATTAAGGGCTGAATTTCTTTCATGTTTCAGAGATCATAGCACTGAGGATTCCATGTTGTGTGGACTTAAAGAACTAAGTAATATTTGCAAGAGTTGGTGAGTGGTCTCCGTGTCGCACACTTGGTTGTGTATGTGGAGACACTGGGGCTTCAGAGGCTGCATTGGAAGTCTGAGAGTCTTGCTGGTTCTAGCACTGAAATCAGTTTCGATATCAGAAGCCCTCACCAGCCAGACACCAGGGAGAGGTTCTCAGTTCTTCTGGAAGCTGAAAGTCTTGTTCTAAATAATGTCAAAAAACCTGTTCAGCTTTAAAAAATCTAAGGGCTTGCATATTTGTTGTCTGCTTTGAGGAAGCCAAAGACAGAGAAAAAAGAAGGGAGAGAGGGAGAGAGGGAGAGAGGGAGAGAGAGAGAGAGAGAGAGAGAGAGAGAGAGAGAGAGAGAGAGAGAGAGAAACACAAGACAGAAAGCCATGAGAGAAGCTTTGAGAATGAGAGAGAGAGCCTTTGGTAGCTGCAATCAATCAGTTCTGTAGTCAAATAGGACTCGCAGCATGTGAATGTCAACAGCTGAGGTGCAGAGATGCAGGGATGTTGTGCTGATATTTTGAACAAATCAGAGCCATAAGACAAAGCACTGGTGAGCAGATACACACATAGACCTTAAGTCCTGTTGATTCAAACAGAAGCATTCTCAGAGGAATTTAAGTGAAGGAACAATGTCCAGAAGCAGGACAGAATCCATTTCTGAATGCTGTAGCAGCTCCTACACGGGCCAAGTCAGTGAGCCTGGAAGAGTTCAGTTTTCTCACCTACACAGTGAAGGTGATGTCTGTGCTTTACCTGTTTTTAAAGAAGGAAATGGACATTACATTAGAGAGTGAGTTCATAAAATAAACAGTACACATGGCAGTATTGTTGCCTAATCCTTAAAGTCATACTTCCGGTGAAGCCCAAAGCCCTCCCAAAACCGTTTTGTAGGCCCCAGGCTTTGCTCATTCAACAGGAGGCATTTGCAAAGCGCTGTGAAGGAAACTCAGCCTTTGTAAGCTGTGCCCTTCTTACCTCAGATAACAAAACTGTGCTCAGAGGAAGAAAGAACTGGATTGCCAACCCCCATGTTGTTCAATTGAGGACACCAGACTCCGCAGAGATTAAGGGGCGTGCCTAACCCTGTCATTCAGCAACAGGATCCAAGTGAGATTCTTGGCCTCCCATCAACTCACTATTTCAAAAAATTTGTTCATCCATTTTCATGATTTCCGCTTACTCTAAGAAGTGCATAGGCGTTGCCCATAGACAGACTTGTGACTAGTAGTACACCCCAGGTCCTTCATGATAATTTTTTTAAATGTTTAAAGAAATGAATAGATAACAGGATGTAAAACAAGTTGGAGCAAGGCAAGAGGAAACCATAGCCTTTCTTTCTCCTGTGTCTTCTGGTCAACACCACCTAAGATGGAGGAATGTTGAGAGGAGGAGGTGGGGGCAGGGAGCTCTGAAAACACGTTGATTCAGTCATTACCAGTAGATAAGTGAAGTCTTTCTCAAATTTCTCTTCGGGGCCAAGACCCATCTAAATGCATCACTGTTTAGACCACTAAAAGAAATACGGTATAAAACTCTTGACTCTCATTTCCCAATATGTTAATCTTCCTTATTTATTTCTCCCAAATGTTTTTAAAACAATCTCTCTCTCCGGGACAATTGGATCTTGTGTATCCTGTCAAATTTTAGTAGAAAGCAAATTTTTATAACCAAATTATAAAGCTCTCAACACTGAGGCTTATTTATGGTGGAAACATTGACTGAATGTTAACTAAGGCGGCTTCCATGACACAGGCTCCAGTGAGGTAGAATTTCCGAACTAAAAAACTGGTAAGAATTATTTCGCATCTATTTTAATGTCCTTCCCTCAACATTGTGCACCATTACCTCCCCCTATTTAGAGAGTATTTCATCCATTTTTGGGATGATTTTTTTTAAATATTTGATAACAATGCTGTGTATCACTTGAAAAAGGAGAGCTTCATGTTGTGGGTTTTCTTTTCTTTTTAACTGTAAAACATGTGCTGGTTCCCCTAGTAATTGTTAGAAGACAAGACATGACAGAGAAGTATCCTGCAGCTGGTTGGTGCTGGATCTTAAACTTAACTCCCTTTCACTAGGATTACATCTTTCAGAAGAAGGCACCATTTTGCTTTTATCCCTGAACTACAGTTGGGACAGGAAGGAGAAACAGGAGTCCAAGCATTCTTTGGAAAAGTCACTCTCCACGTGCAAACAGGAGTTGTTAGGAGTAAGAGTTCTCCAAAAGACCACACAGCTTTCTGCCCATTGACTCCTGAGAAAGACTCCTAGTACAAGCTCCACCGACCCAGGTTAAACTTAATCATGAAATCACAGAGGGGAGAGGACAGGAGGGGAAGGGAGAGAGCGGAGGGGAGGGGAGGGAGGGGAGGGAAATAGAGGCAGTGATATAGGAAAATAACCAAGCTGAGACCCAAAAGCCAGAACCTCATCTCAGGACGACCACTCCATATGCATGGTTCTCTGATGAAGAAGCCATTTCGCTCTGGACCGGTTCATGAGCTTGGTGGCAGCCACAAACCCCCAGCCTCGCTCGAGTGGAATGAAAAATGATCAGAACAAGAAGACGGCAGCTGGAAAGAAAGAGCAGTTCAGGTCCGAAGGCCCCGGGGACCTGTGTGACAGCGCTTTGGAGGGCCTTGCCTCTCTGGCTTGGGAAAGCCGCGTGGATACAAGGTGTACAGAAAGAGGAGAGAGATATGAAATACCGCCCGTCTGGGGGAGCAGAAACAGCAGCTGCCAGCCTTGGCTGAGATCAGAGGAAGGCGAAGGACTGAGAGGGGACTGAGATGAACCACGCCATCTTCTCCAGAGCTGACAGTCACCACAGAGAAGGGCAAAGGAAGAAGCTGGGTACCTGTCAGTGTGAACCTGAGGTTGCCAGGACTCAGTGATCTAAGAGCTGTCATCCTTTGGGACAATCACTTTAAAAGACAAACAAACAAAAAACAAACAAAAAACCCAAATACAATCCTTTTTGCTGTAAGCCTTTGTTGACATCAAGCTCAGCTTCCTTTCTCTATGTAAAGCTACTAAACCTTCTAGTTTATTAAATAATTTCCACACACACACACACACACACACACAAAAACCCAGATGAACGTCTAAGTGAGACGTCAAACAACGTGTCTTTGGTGTGCTTTTTTTTTTTTTTTAAATCAGAAATGTGTGTCAAAGGTCAAAAAAGCACTACTTCCCTGTATCTTAAGCACGTCATTGCCATAATATAAAAACTGACTTACTAACTTAGATTATTTGGAGAGTTAAGTGCTTGTGTTATTGCAAATTAAACTAATTAGTATCATTTCCTGGCAGCTGCAGCTAGCGTTAGCAATTCCACAATTTTCCTTCAGCCGCTCAAGTGGGATGCAGAGCGAGGCAGCGCTGTGATTTAATGGAATGGGACCAGCTTATCAGGCTAAGGGCACCCGGTGCCACTCCATGTCCCTTCCTGATTTGCTCCTGACTGTATGAGCACACTGATGAGAGGTGTCAGTGGTTTCTGAAAGAGCCCCAGCTAGTTGGAAGGACGTTGGAATTTGCCTGTAGTATTTCCCTTTTGGAACAGCTGAGAGTTACGCGCTCCATCCTTTGAACCAAAATTGTAGCTGCCCATAAAACATGCTGGAACTAATTTCCTACCACAGCTCGCTTAATTGTTATAAAACAGCCTTATAAAGATGCCCCAAATGGGGCTTCCAGCATCTGTGAATGAATAACTAAAGAGAAAAGCTATATGTTTCATCAGTTTTTCTCTGGAACCCATGAGCGTCAAACTATGCGTAATTCTCCAAGCCCACAGACCATAGGTGCTTTGCCACACCCAACACAGGAAAACTCACAGGAGAGCTTTACACGAGACACAAAAATTGAGAAATTATTCAGGAGGCTGCAGAGGTGGCTTGGCAGGTAAGAGCAAGTACCACTCTTACAAAGGACCTGAGTTCAGGTCCAAGCATTGAGGAGCTCACAATCACTGAGAAGTCCAGCTTCTGGGTGGGGTTCCGAGGATCAGATGGCTCTGGCCTCCATAGGTGCCTGCACTCATGGGTACAGACTGCACATCCCCACACACATACATATACTTA